GTGCTGGGAAGGGTTTGGGGTGCAGGAGAGCCCCCAGTTTGGATGCAGGGGAGCCCCATGAACCCCAGTGCTGGGCAGGGTTTAGGGTGCAGGGGAGCCCTGTGAACCCCCAGTCTGGGCTTGGTTTGGGGTTCAGGGGAGCCCCCAGTGCTCGGAAAGGTTTGGAATCAGAGGAACCCCCTGCTCCCCATTGCTGCGGTGATTTAGGGCTGCAGCCGAACCCTTTCCAATAACGGGGTCCATGTGGGGTTTTGGGACCCCCCGGCACCCCCCGACACCCCTCAACCCTCCCGCTGTCCCCGCAGTCGTTCCAGAAGGAGCTGGGCAAACGCGCCAGCTGCATCAAAACCCTGAAGCGCTCGGTGCGCGATCTGACGAGCGGCAGCAGCAGCGTGGACTCGCAGTGGCTGCAGCGGCAGATGGAGGAGCTGAGCACCCGCTGGGACCTGGTCTGCAAACTGTCCCTGTCCAAGCAAGCCCGGCTGGAGAGCGCCCTGCGCCAGGTGAGGCTTTGGGGTGCAGGGTTTGGGGTTCAGGGGAGCCCCCAGTTTGGGGTGCAGGGTTTGGGGTGCAGGGTTTGGAGCACCCGCTGGGAGCTGGTGTGCAAACTGTCCCTGTCCAAGCAGGCGCGGCTGGAGAGCGCCCTGCGCCAGGTGAGGGTTTGGGGTGCAGGGGGCACCAAATCTGAGCAGGGTTTGGGGTGCAGGGGAGCCCACAGTGCACCCCAGTCTGGGCAGGTTTGGAGTTTGGGGGAACCCCCAGTGCTGGGCAGGGTTTGGAATCAGCGAGCCCCCAGTCTGTGCAGGGTTTGGGGTGCAGGGGAACCCCAAATCTGCACAGGGTTTGGGGTGCAGGAGAGACCCCAGTGCACCCCAGTCTGGGCAGAGTTTGGAGTTCGGGCGACACCCCCAGTCTGGGCAGGGTTTGGAATCAGTGGAGCCGCTTGCACCCCAGTTTGGGTGGGGTTTGGGGTTCAGGGGAGCCCCCAGTGCTGGGAAGGGTTTGGGGTGCGGGGTTTGGGGTGCGGGGTTTGGGGTGCAGGGGATCCCCCACTCTGGGAAGGGTTTGGAGCACCCGCTGGGACCTGGTCTGCAAACTGTCCCTGTCCAAGCAGGCGCGGCTGGAGAGCGCCCTGCGCCAGGTGAGGGTTTGGGGTGCGGGGGAACCCCAAATCTGGGCAGGGTTTGGGGTGCAGGAGAACCCCAATTTGGGGTGCAAGGTTTGGGGTGCAGGGTTTGGGGTTGCAGGGTTTGGGGTGCAGGGGAGCCCCAAATTTGGGGTGCAGGGTTTGGGGTGCAGGGTTTGGAGCTGAGCACCCGCTGGGACCTGGTCTGCAAACTGTCCCTGTCCAAGCA